CCTGATGAGATCTGATAGACTAAGATCAGAAGGAAGGAGAGGGGGACCACCCCTATCAGTGGACTTGGGGAGGGGCATGCGTGAAGAAGTTTGAGGGAAGGTGGGATTAGGAGGGTAGGAGGGAGGAATTTATGGGGGGATACAAAGTGAATAAAGTGTAATTAATAAAGGTTAAAAAAAGGAAAAAAAGCCATTCAGGATAGTAGGTTGAATAAATAAACAAACTGATGAATAAATGTCTTGAAGTTGAATTTAGTGATAGAAAATAATACTATTGTGCTCTTTAAAGGGAAATAGATGGAATTTGTGATTTTTATGTGAAGGAAAAGTCTCAAAAGCACAATTATTGCAGAACTGTGCTGGAGATGTTACCCTGGTGGTGAAGATAGAGGAAACCAGACAGACTGACCAGCTCAGCTATCACCAAGGCCCAGTTCCAGGAATTTCAGTTAGCTCATCCTAAAATGTACATCATCTGGGCACTGTTCAGGCCAGAGAAAGGATCAGTCTTGCAGATCCAAAGCTTCAGGATCTCTGTGTAAAGGGCAACAACAGGATAACCAAAAGACATCCAACTAAAGAGGTAACACTGAAGACACAGAAGACAGAGATCACAAAGCAGACTCATTGCACTGAACATTTGCAAGTGAAGATGTGTGGACAGAGGGGTCTATTGTGAGAAACACTGTGACACTCTACAGCTTCCACAATGAGAGGTTTTGTATGCTTTGTTTAGTTTTGTTTATTTTGTTTGTTTGTTTGTATGTCATTTGAAGGGATTACAAGGACAAACAGCAGATACAAATGGATAGGGAGATGAGTGGGACTGCTTTGCATAATTTGAAACTCACAAAGAATCAATAAGTTTTCTATTTAATGAAGAAGAAAATAAAACAGTAACTTGTTAACTGTATTACCTAAAATTTACTTGAGCTCAACTAACCATAACGATATCCTGACACATTGTCAACTGGCTATGAGCAACACTGTGATAATGTAGCTCAGGTAGGTGAGGGGTCATGGTAAGGCAAGTCTCTGAGACACAGTGCCAGGTAAAAGATAAATTGTGTGTTCAAGCGCTGCCAAAAAAAAAAAAAAATGGCAGGAGGAGCCAGATGTTTAACTTCTCCCCTAGGGACCTCTGCTTGCTTAGCAGTGCCCTTTAGATTCCACCTGTAGGAAATCTCACACTCCACAAAGGTTTACACATCATTTTGGAGCCTTGAGACATATGCAAATTTTAGAAAATTCCATCTAAATAACAGTCTCTTTCTTATTAATTACAGATAATTTCTTTTTATACTGCACCATAAACCACTTTTAAAAGGGAACATGAACCTCCATATATAAGCAATGTAGTACATGATTGTGGAGTGAAATATATTAAAAATCAGTCAGACAAATAAAATATAATAAAATAAAATAAATAAAATAAAATAAAAAATCCTCACTTGGAAAGACAAATGGGATGGACATGGGAAGTAGGAGAAAACAAGGAACAGGACAGGAGCTCACCACAGAGGGCCTCTGAAAGACTCTACCCAGCAGTGTATCAAAGCAGATACTGAGACTAATAACCAAAATTTCCGTAGAGTGCAGGGAATCATATAATAAAAGGGGGAGTTAGCATGACAGGGAGAGGACAGGACCCCCACAAGGACAAAATATATCAGATCATGGGGGTCTTCTATGAGACTGTTTCTCCAACCACAGACCATGTATGGATATAACCTAGAAGCCCTGCTCAGATGTAGCCCACGGTAGCTCAGTATCCAAGTGAGTACCCTAGTAGGGGGAACAGGAACTATTTCTGACATGAACTCAAGGACTGGCTCCCTTACCTATCCCTGCATCCAAGGGAGGAACAGCCTTGCTAGGCCAGAGAGGAGGACATTACAGCCAGTACTGAAGATACCTAATAAGCCAAGGTCAGATGGAAGGGGAAGAGGGCCTCCACTAGCAGTAGACTTGGAAAGGGTCAGGGAGGAGATGAGGGAGGGAGGGTGGGATTGAGAATGAATGGGGGAGGGGGCTATGGCTGGGCTACAAAGTAGATAACCTGTGATTAATATTAAAAAAATAAAAATAAATAAATCAGACAATTTACAAATAGAACAGTACTCCACTTAGGCAAGACCCCATCAGCCATTCTCTACCACCTAGCCACTATATGAGATTCTGAGTATAGAGCGAAGATCCCTGAGTGCCAGTTTTTTTTCCCCTGGGCCAGCCATGTCAGAGTTGAGCACAGAAGGCATTTAATAGGCTTTACAGAGTTATCTTGCCCAGTACATGCTGGTATCCATTTCCTTCACCATTTTCCATGCTTGGAATCTCAGAACTGATAACTGGATTCTGAACTCAGCTTTACAATTTTGATCAGCATCTCTAGAACATTTGTTTATTTTCTAATATATGAGAAATTCTTCCTGTACCTCAACCACATTAACATCAGAGCCACCAAAAACTAAGTAGGAACTGTAACAGATTGTTAATGCACCCATGGAGATGCTGAAAATGGACCATAAAAACATGAACAGTCAGAGTCAAGTGTCATGACAAAGAGGAAAAGAACAATATGATATTATTCTAAGTACAGTACGATATTGGTCTACCACTGGAACATATTTAGAAAGCTCCTGCTCAAATTTCATGTTTCACATTTCAAACAATTTCTGTGTATGATCCTTATTGAAAATGAGATCCAAATGAAAGCCTAGACTGTACAAATCATGCTTATTTTACCCTTTACCATGATGCTTAATACTGTAACTCTGACTAATAAAACTAGTTTTCTGATCTTGCTAATATAATGAATTATTCTAGAGAAGACTCATCAGCTCAAACTAAAAATTCTAATCAAAGGATTCTCTATTGGCTGAGAAGCACATAAAGAAATTTTGAGCATCATTAGTCATCAGGAAAATGCAAATCAAAATGACTAAAAATGACATCTTACAAATGTCAGAATGGTAAAGATCAAAAACTCAAGCTACCACACGTGCTAGAAAGGATGCAGAGCATGGGAAACACTCCTCAATTTCAGGTGGGAATACAAGCTTATACAACTACTTTGAAAATAAATCTGGAGCTTTCTCAAAACAAAATTGGGAATAGCTCTGCCTTAAGACCCAGCTACACCACTCCTGAGCATATTCCCAAAACATGTTCCATCATAACACAAGGACATTTGCTCACCTATGTTCACAGCAGCGTTATTCATTATATGCAGAAACTGGAAACAACCCAATTGTCCCTTAACTAAAGAATGGGAAAGAAAATGTGGTACATTTAAACAATACAATACTACACAGCTATTAAAATTTCCCAGCAAATGGATAGAACTAGAAAACATGATCCTGAGTGAGGTAACCAAGACCCACAAGGACACACATGGTATGTACTCACTTATAAGTGTGTATTATCTAAATAGTACAGGATAACCATTTTACAACCTACAAACCCAAAGGAGCTAAGTAACAAGGAGGTTCCAAGGGAGGATGCTTGAATATCACTCAGAAACAGACAACAAATATGAATGGAGAGGAACCTGAGTGGGAGAGGGAGTAGGGAGGATACCTAATGTGGGTATCAGGTGTGGGTAGAGGAGTGGAAGGAGGTAAGATGGTAGGGAGAGAGAAGAAAAACCGATGGTTGGGACATCTCTGGGACAAGCTGGTGACTTTCCATGAAGTAGGCTCCTGGGAGGACAGGGGGTGACTTAAGCTGAGACTCCCAGCAGCAGGGGACATGGGGACTGATATGACTATCTCCTGTAGCCAGGCAGGACTTCCAGCCTAAGGAGGGAGACACTAACCCTCCCCAAAAACCTTCAACCCAAATTTACCCTGCCCACAAGATGTGCTGGGATAAAAATTGAGCAGAGATTGAGAGAATGGCCAAGCAATGACTGCCCCAAACTGAGACCCAGCCTTTGGAAGAGAGCAAACCCCTGACACTATTAATGATACTCTGTTATGCTTGCAGGCAGGAGCCTAGCATAACAGTCTTTTGAGAGCCTCCATACAGCAGTGGATCAAAACTGAGACTCAAAGCCAAACATTAGGGTTAGGATTCAGGGAATCTTGTGGAAGTGCTGGGGGAAAGACAGAGAGATTCCTCAAGGGTTAAAGAACCAACTGAGTTAACTAACCTAGACCCTTTGGTGCTCACAGAGACTGAACCACCAACCAAAGAGCATGTCTGGACTGACTTATGCCTCCTAAATATATGTAGCTGGTGGTCAGCTTGGTCATCCTGTGGGCATCCTAACAATGGTCCTGGGGGCTCTCAATAACATGTATGGAGTTGCCTGCTATAGAATCACTGTCCCATAGATGGGCTGCCTTGTTTGGTCTCTGTGAAAAAGAATGTGCTTAGGCCTGATGCAAATTAATTGATTAGGGCTCCCCATTTCTGAGGAGAAGGGAAAGGGGATTGGGGATGAAGGTAGGAGGATGTTAAGGGGAGGTAAGGAGGGATTGCACTGCAATCAGGATAAATCAAATAAATAAATAAAATAATGAAAAAATCATCATCTCATAGTTATTACATACAGATACATTGTTTCTCCTCTTTCTTCTTCAAATCCTTGAATAGCCACATATCTATTATTTCCAGGTCTTTCTCACAGTAAATGAAAGAGCTTCTGGTGAAGTTTGGGTTTATCTAAGGTCCATGGCATTCTCTACCACCTAGCCACTATAGATCAGCTTGAGAAGGCCCAGCTGCACAGAGTCTATGTTTCCACTGTTTTTGCAAGATCTCCTTTCAAGAATCAACTCCTTTCCTGTGTGCACCAAGAGGGAAAGTTTCCATATCACATGCACCTCATTTACCCACAGAGTAGACAAACAGAGCAGAGATGATGTAAAACTCTGGGAAGGAAATCCCACAGGTGTGCTGGTGTAGGAGCAGTGGGGGCCCTCTCCTTAGTCCCTCCTTCTCCCTCTGTTGGGATATAAAGCAGACCTCCTCCAGTGCTCACTACCTTCGCCACAATGCGTGCTCTCCTGTTCCTGGCCCTTGTGGGAGCTGCTGGTGAGTTCCATGCTTTAACCCACTTACTTCTCTTCCTTCCTCTTGGAGCCATGAACCCCACCACCAAGTCTGCTTTTTCACCCTCTGTACACCAATGTCATTTCTTCCCCTAAGAGTAGGTATGGTTCCAATCTTTCAGACTTCTCTGAAAGGCTAAATTTACTTACCCCTTCTGCTATGATCTATTGTGTGATCAGAGAGTCTGAAAAAGAAAGACATGGTGGTTCCATGAAAAGCATCAGCAAGCCTCCTGCTTGGCCTCAACAGCTTGAGGATACCTCAGCCATACTTCTATTAACAGAGGAATACTCCTAAATTGGTGGTTAAAATCCTCCTTAAAATTCTGACCTTAAGTGTCTGAGACAGTGACTTCGTATTAAGAAGGATATTGCGGCACTATATTATTATTTTTTAATGCCAATGTGAATTGGAGACTTATAAACAAAGATGCTTAAATCTCTTCATATCCAGGATATTTTCCAAAATTTTCCCAACCACACTAAAACTCTTAAGCTTTGTTATCCACAGGGTGTAAATGAAGAGTAAACATGAGATCAAAGCAGGCAGTGTATTAGACAACCAACTGTACCCCCTATTTCTAAATGCTGAGAGCTTCACTTAGCCTACCTATAATAAAGTATCAAAAAGCAGTCACCTACAGAGTATTTTTCTTTTGTCCTGGACTCTATATTTCAGACATACTGTTCTATCCTTACTGGTGATATAGTGGTACCTTCTTGCCTTCATTTATGGTACTCATTAAGAACTCCTAATTAGCTGAAAGCTGGCAGAGGCCTGGGGTTTCCACCTTCCAGTACCTTGACTGATTATCTTATCAATGATCTTTTATCTTTATGCAAGTTGCTTTCCCTGTTGATGATGATGACAAGATTGTTGGAGGATACACCTGCCAGAAGCATTCTGTCCCCTACCAGGTGTCCCTGAACTCTGGCTACCACTTCTGTGGAGGGTCCCTCATCAATAACCAGTGGGTGGTGTCTGCAGCTCACTGCTACAAGTCGTAAGTGATGGGCCCACCTATACAATCAGACACTTGACTTTTCTAGGGGCATTGTATAAAACCAGGCAATAACTGAAATCATAAATTGAATGGGAAATGTCAGAAAGAGAGAGAAAGATTACTGACTGTAGCTTATTTCATGAGGTTGGAGAGAATAAGGATACAGAATAGGAATCTTTCAACACCCCTAAACCATCCAAAATAAATCAATGGTATAGGTAACGAAAGCACGGAAAGTTGAATTCGGGATACAATACCAAACACGAAGTCACAAAAAAGACTTTCAGAAATTGTAACACTGGGTTCTTTTTCGGGATGACAAACATTTTCAATGAGTGTGGACAATCTGTACTCTTTTTAAAACTCTCCTTTTCAATTAATTTCACTGCATATAGAGAACTTAAAGTCAATTCTATATCATGGTATATAAAACCTGAACATGCATCAGAATCAGCCAGATTATCAGTCAGAAAATCAAGAAAAGAAACTCAGAAAGTGAATTCATACCAAGTTGAGAGGTACCACAGCCACATGGACCACGCTATTCTTATCCCAAACTGTACTAGAGCCACTAGATTAATAGTTCTTAATGATATGGTATGGCTTAAACTTTGCAAACACACAGAGAAATAATGAAGATACAAGAATCTATTTTGCATACAAAGGAGGGACAGCAGGTTGATGTCTAACCTCCAGCTACAGTCCTTCTCCTCACCTGTCTTTGAAGCAGACAGGAATTGGTTCTCACAGCAGCACCTGCACGCCACACCAGTGCAACACCTGTTATTCTAAACTAGGCCTCCTCCCCACTCCAGACTCACTCAGCAAAGAGTGTAATAACTCTGGAGGGTTTGAAGCATTGGTGAGGACGTCTCTAACATGCCTCTCTTTCCAATAGCCGCATCCAAGTGAGACTGGGAGAACACAACATCAATGTCCTTGAGGGCAATGAACAGTTTGTCAATTCTGCCAAGGTCATCAGGCACCCCAACTATAATTCAAGGACCCTGGACAATGACATCATGCTGATCAAGCTCTCGTCCCCTGTGACCCTCAATGCCCGAGTGGCCACTGTAGCTCTGCCCACATCCTGTGTATGTGCTGGCACTCAGTGCCTCATCTCTGGCTGGGGCAACACCCTGAGCTCTGGAGGTAAGACAATTCATTAGCATTCTTTACAACTTTTCAGATCAAGTAAGTTTCTAAGCTTTTTATGATATAAGTACATTGCAAGTACCAGTATACACAAGATCCTGCAGTGGGTACAGGAATATGTGTTCACAGAATGATCCCAAACCGTACACAGGAGAGATGCAGAATGTGCCATTACTGCTTCCAGGAAAAACAACAGTAAGGACTATTCTGGGGTCTACATTTTTTGCTGGGCCTTACTCTCTTTAAGAATGCTCCATGGGTCATATAGTGTTCAGTACCAAAATGTTGATTCCTAGCCTAGTCTAAATCTCATTTCTTTCTTATCCTTCCCTCACAGTAAAGAACCCAGACCTGCTGCAGTGCCTGGATGCACCAGTGCTGTCTCAGGCTGCTTGTGAAGCCTCCTATACTGGAAAGATCACCAATAACATGATCTGTGTTGGCTTCTTGGAGGGAGGCAAAGATTCCTGCCAGGTAATTGGCTCTCTTCCCATAGAAATACCTTGTTTTCTTAGTAGTGGGAATGGAAGCTCCAAGTGTATGGTGGAAGAAGTTTTCCTTTAGTGGGTTTATGAAAGAGTGAGGAGGTTTATTCTGGATGTTATTTTTGTCATGTTAGTAAGAATAGAGGAAGCGCTGACAAATGGAAGCAAAGGATGGCTATCATAGCATCGTCAAGTTGGATTAGCTATGGTTCTTTTTGTACATGGCTCTTCCCTAAATGCTGTATTCCTTCATGCCAGGGTGACTCTGGTGGCCCTGTGGTCTGCAATGGACAGCTCCAGGGTGTTGTCTCCTGGGGCTATGGCTGTGCGCAGAAGAACAACCCTGGCGTCTACACCAAGGTCTGTAACTATGTAGACTGGATCCAGAACACCATTGCTGCCAACTAAACATCATTATCCCTCTGAACTGACTATGCTAATAAAGTGAATGTTTCCTTACTTTCTGTGTCTCTGTCTGTCTCTTTATCCTCTTGTCTGTAGGAAATACAATCCAATTTGAGGTAATCTCTGTCTGCCCTTGGTATGTGGTGAGCTTCCTCCATCTGAAAACTGTTGCATGGGACAGTATTTCAGCAGCAGTTGAAAAGAAATAAAGTAAAGTTAAATGTTAGAGGAATTATAGTTTAGTTTTTTCTTTTTACAAAACATGTATCAGAAAGTTGATGTTAAAATGTTAATAGTCTTTTATATTTACGTGTGATTTTTAACTGAACACTTTCATGAATGCTTTCATTGTTTAGGAATAAATAACATGTATAATTTTTCCATTTTAGTTCCTTTTATTTTAATTTTATTTATTCATTTTACAGTTCAGTGGTAGCCCCTCCCACTTTTTACCCCAGTCACCCCCTTCCTTCTTGTTTTTCCTATTCCACTCCCCTAATTCTCAGAGAAAGGCAGCCCTACCCAACCACCCACCCCAAGATATCAAGTCAAGTTAGAACCGAAAGCATGTTCTTCCCTTGTAGTCTGGAAAACTAAAGGGAAAATCCAAACAAACAAATAGACACCTTTAAAGAGGACATGAATAAATAACTTTTTTAATTTAATTTTATTTTTTTCTTATCAGTTACATTTTATTAACTCTGTATCCCAGCTGTATCCCGCTGCCTCATTCCCTCCCAATTCCACCCTCCTTCCCTCATCTCCACCATGCCCCTTTCCAAGTCCACTGATGGGGGGGACCTCCTCCCCATTCATCTGATCCTGTTTTATCAGGTATCTTCAGGACTGGCTGCAAAGCCCTCCTCTGTGGCCTAACAGGACTGCTCCTCCCTTGGGGGGTGGGGAGGTCAAAGAGCCAGTCATAGAGTTCCTGTTAGAAATAGTCCTTGTTCCCCTCACTATGGGAAACCAATTGGTTACTGAGCTACCACAGGCTACATCTGAGCAGAGGTTCTAGGTTATATCCATACATGGTCCTTGGTTGAATGTCAGTCTCTGAAAAGACCCTGTGCCCAGATATATTTGGTCCTTGTGGAGCTCCTAGCCTTTCCCCATCAAACTAACTCCCCTTCTTTCGCATGATTCTTTGTACTCTGCCGAAGGTTTGGTCATGAGTCTTTGTATCTACACTGAAAACACTGCTAGTTAGAGTCTTTCAGATGTGGTCAGTAGACTCCTGTCATAAGTTCAATGCACATCCCATCTGTCTTTCTAAACAAGGATTGATCATCTTATCCCATGTCCGCTCTTTTGATTATCTTTTTTAGGTGTATAGATTTCATTATGTTTATCATATCTTAAAGGTCTATATAGGTGAGTATATACCATGTTTGTCTTTCACTTTCTGGGATATTTCACTCAGAATGATCTTTTCTAGATCCCACCATTTGCCTGCAAATTTCATGATTTCCTCCTTTTTGATTGCTGAGTAGTATTCCATTGTGTAAAAATACCACAATTTCTGTACCCATTCCTCCATTGATGAACATCTGGGTTGTTTCCAGGTTCTGGCTATTACAAATAAAGCTGCTATAAACATGGTTGAGCAAGTATCCCTTTTGTGTACTTGAGCAAAGTTTGGGTATATACCTAGCAGTGGTATAGCTGGGTCTTGAGGAAGCACTATTCCTAATTGTCTGAGAAAGCGCCAGATAGATTTCCAGAGTGGTTGTACCAGTTTACATTCCCAGCAGGAATGGAGGAGGGTTCCCCTTTCTCCACGACCTCTCCAGCATGTGTTGTCACTTGAGTTTTTCATCTTGGCCATTCTGATGGGTGTAAGGTGAAATCTCAGGGTCTTTTTAATTTGCATTTCCCTGATGGCTAACGATGTTGAGCATTTCTTTAAGTGTTTCTCTGCCATTTGATATTCCTCTACAGAGAATTCTCTGTTTAGCTCTGTTCCCCATCTTTTAATTGGATTACTTGGTTTGCTGCTTTTCAGCTTCTTTAGTATTTTGTATATACTGGATATTAGTCCTCTGTCAGATAAAGGGTTAGTGAAGATTCTTTCCCAATCTGTAGGCAGTCGTTTTGTTTTGATGACGGTGTCCTTTGCTTTACAGAAGCTTTTCAGTTTCATGAGGTCCCATTTATTGATTGTTGCTCTTAGAGCCTGTGCTGTTGATGTTCTGTTCAGGAAGTTGTCTCCTGTGCCAATGAGTTCTAGGCTGTTCCCCACTTTTCCAACAGATTTACAGTGTCTGGTTTTATGTTGAGGTCTTTGATCCACTTGGACTTTAGTTTTGTGCAGGGGGATAAGTATGGATCTATTTTCATTTTTCTGTATGTAGACATCCAGTTGGACCAGCACCATTTGTTGAAGATGCTGTCTTTTTTCCATTGAATGGTTTTGGTTTCTTTGTCAAAAATGGAGTATTCATAGGTGTGTGGGTTTATTTCTGGGTCTTCTATGCAGTTCCATTGATCCTCCTTTCTGTTTTTATGCCAATACCATGCAGTTTTTATTACTATTGCTCTGTAGTATAACTTGAGATCGGGGATGGAGATACCTCCAGATGATCTGTTGTTGTACAGGATTATTTTGGTGATTCTGGGTTTTTTGTTTCTCCATATGAAGCTGAGAATCTTTTTTTTCAAGGTCTGTAAAGAATTGAGTTGGTATTTTGATGGGAATTGCATTGAATCTGTAGATTCCTACTGGCAGGATGGCCATTTTCACAATGTTAATCCTACCATTCCATGAGCACGGGAGATCTTTCCATCTTCTGAGATCTTCTTCAATTTCTTTCTTGAGAGACTTGAAGTTTTTCTCAAAAAGGTCTTTCACTTGCTTGTTTAGTGTCACCCCAAGGTACTTTATGTGGTTAGTGGCTATTGTGAAGGGTGCTGTTTCCCTAATTTCTTTCTCGGCCCTTTTGTCTTTGGTATACAGGAGGGCTTCTGATTTTTTTGAGTTGATTTTGTATCCTGCCATTTTGCTGAAGGTGTTTATCAGCTGGAGGAGTTCACTGGTTGAATTTTTGGGGTCACTCATATATACTATCATATCATCTGCGAATAGTGACACTTTGACCTCTTCCTTTCCGATTTGTATCTCCTTGATTTCCTTTAGTTGTGTTATTGCTCTGGTTAGGACTTCAAGAACTATGTTGAAGAGGTATGGAGAGAGTGGGAAGCCTTGTCTTGTCCCTGAGTTCAGTGGGATTGACTTAAGTTTCTCTCCATTGAGTTTGATGTTGGCTATAGGCTTGCTGTATATTGCCTTTACTATGTTTAGATATGTGCCTTGTATCCCTGATCTGTCCAAGTCTTTAAACATGAATGGGTGTTGGACTTTGTCGAATGCTTTTTCAGCATCTAAGGAGACGATCATGTGGTTTTTCTCCTTCAATTTGTTTATGTGGTGGATGACATTGATGGATTTCCGTATGTTGAACCACCCTTGCAAGCCTGGGATGATGGTGGATGATATCTTTGATGTGTTCTTGGATTTGGTTTGCAAGTATTTTATTGAGTATTTTTGCGTCAATGTTCATAAGAGAGATAGGTCTGAAGTTTTATTTTTTGTTGAGTCTTTGTGTGGTTTAGGTATCAGGGTGACTGTCGCTTCATAGAATAAGTTTGGTAATGTACCTTCTGTTTCTATTTTGTGGAATAGTTTGAGGAGAATTGGTGTTGGCACTTCTTTGAAGGTCTGGTAGAATTCTGCGCTGAAACCATCTGGCCCAGAGCTGTTTTTGAAGGGGAGACTGTGAATGACTGCTTCAATTTCCTTGGGGGATATAGGGCTATTCAGTCTTTCTACATGATCTTGACTTGATGTTGGAAGATGGAATCTATCAAGAAAATTGTCCATTTCATTTAGGTTTTCAAATTTTGTGGCATATAGACTTTTGTAGTATGACCTACTGATTATTTTAAATTCCTCAGCGTCTGTAGTTATGTCACCCTTTTCATTTCTGATTTTGCTGATTTGGATAGATTCTCTCTGCTTTTTAGTTAGTTTGGCTACGGGTTTGTCTATCTGGTTGATTTTCTCAAATAACCAGCTTTTTTTTTTCATTGATTCTTTGAATAGTTTTATTTGTTTCTAACTGATTGATTTCAGCCCTGAGTTTGATTATTTCCAGCCGTCTGCTCCTCTTGGGTGTATCTGCTTCTTTTTTTTCTAGGGTTTTCAGTTGGGCCATTAAGTTGTTTGTATGTGATGTTACAAATTTCTTCTTGCAGGCACTTAGTGCTATAAATTTTCCTCTGAACACTGCTTTCAATGTGTCCCATAAATTTGAGTATGTTGTGCCTTCAATTTTCATTAAATTCTAGGAAGTCTTTAATTTCTTTCTTTATTTCTTCCTTAACCCAGCTGTCATTGAGTAACAAGTTCTTCAGATTCCATGTGTGTGTCGGCTTTTTGTTATTTCTGTTGTTGTTGAGGTCCAGCTTTAGTCCATGGGGGTCAGATAGAATACAAGGGATTATTTCAATCTTTTTGTATCTGTTGAGGCTGGCTTTATGACCAACTATATGGTCTATTTTGGAGAAGGTTCCATGCAGTGCTGAAAAGAAGGTATACTATTTTGAGTTTGGATGAAAAGATCTGTAGACGTCTATTAGTTCCATTTGATTTAGGAACTCTGTAAGTGTTTTTATTTCCCTATTTGTTTTCTGTCTAGTTGATCTGTCCCTTGGTGAGAGTGGAGTGTTGAAGTCTCCCACTATTAAGGTATTAGGATCAATGTGTGATTTAAGCTTTAATATTGTTTCATTTACAAATGTAGGTGCTCTTGTATTTGGAGCATAGATATTCAAAATTGTGATGTCCTCTTGGTGGATTTTTCCTTTGATGAGAATATAGTGGCCGTCTTATCTCTTTTGATTAACTTGGGTTGAAAGTCTATTTTATTAGATATTAAGATGGCTACTCCAGCTTGTTTTCTGGAACCATTTGTTTGAAAAACATTTTTCCATCCCTTTGCTCTGAGGTAGTGTTTATCTTTGCTGCATAGGTGTGTTTCTTGGATGCAACAGCA